TTCTTATAGTCAATCATTTGTTGTTTCTAATATTTCCGATTGAAGTCTAGATTTTTAGTCTTAAGCAAACAAAGTATTTTTTAAACTATGAATTTTAGTTACGCCTATCTCAAACATTTAATTATTGCGAAACGGGAAATTATTTCACTAGATATTTTCACATAATTCAGTTGCTTCTTAATAATTTCTTCACTTTCACCAAATCTTAGTCTGGTATTTGAAGAAAAGAGAGTGATTCTTACACACTGCTTACAAATTCCAAATACCAGTAGAATTTACGTAAGTGAGCCCTCAGTGAGCCCTTAGTGCGAAGCATTTAAGTACTTCAGATACTTTTAATGCGAAATGGTATTAAAAAATTTTGCTACACGATGACATGACTAACAGCAACATTTTTGCTTCCGCTTGTGCTGACAACACTCATTTTTTTCCATCCTCCAGTTGCTAAGCTTATGTGAGTCTCCTTATTCTGCTTGTTTTTCTTACTCTTCCTACTTAGTACGATATTTAGAAGCATAAGAACAAAAAAATAGCAACGAAAACATTATTATGTAAACAGAATTTTAATGATGTCACATCAGCACATAAACACCAATAAACACATACATACATAAATACGCACTTGTAAGCATATCGAGAGAAAAGTGCTACTTCGCCTGTAGTGACAAATTTAAGTGTATTTTTCAACGCCATTAAATCTAAAACGGAAGTTAAAAAAACACACACACACACACTACTACGTAAAGTTTCAAAAGAACACTGAAGGTACTATGAACTAGGAGAAGGTGAAATTGAAAAAATAAAAAAAATACTCAGCATTGTATTAATTTTATCCAATTTTTTCAAGTACAATTACAAAGCATTGTGTAAATATCAAATTACGTGTAATGAGGATCAAGCTTAACTGGATTGTTTCGAAGTGCAAGAAAATTAGGTAAAGTAGCTTACAAATTGCTAACGGCAGTAGTATATTTATTTTTTTATATCTGGCATTACCTAAAGTAACTTAACTTGGCTACTACAGAAACCATACTTCAAAATGTAGAGTATATAAAAGCGGTACTCATGCTTTGATAAAATTGATATTTTTTTTATATCAAAACAAGACTAAATCCATCTTTAATAATTGTTTAAAATTTATTCAAACATAAAAAAGTTTTATTAAATAATCAAACGTTCTATGAAAAAAATTCTTTTTTGCAGAAAAATCTAATTAATGCTATTAAATAGCACACAATCTACAGAAAACTTTACGTGAAGAAACTATGAAGGAGAACAATAATCCTTTTGTGGTTACCGCCAATGGTGAAACACTTTAATTACAAACATTAACGTTGCCCTCAAGCAATTTGGGCTATTTATTTTCATGTTTTTCTTAGGGAGCAGTTTACTTGAATTAATGTTACGTATACGCCGTGATGTGCGAAAAAGCATATTGCACACGTTTCCAAATGCCTTTGCGAGCCCAGATGTTGGACATACAAACAACATGTGTTACTATTCTTCACTGGTACATATTTGCTCAAATTTTATTCATTTCTTTTATGTGATGTCCCTTTTACTATATCCATTCGGAAATTGAATAAAATGTTGAAATAAAAAATATTTTTTTTAATTTTTACTTTATTTTTATATATTACGAATGAAAAGCGTCACAAGCTACTACTAAAACATGGGATTTATTTTGTGTTTTAAAATAAGTATTTAATGCAATCAAAAAATAAAAAAAACTAAAATCACGATAAATCATTTTAAATATGATATGATTTCTTTCAATACTCAGATGTTTTTCATAAAAAGGTAGTTGCTGATTAACACTTAGAACTAAGATAGCAACTATCTTAAGAATAACGTCCAAACTTCCATTACATTTTAAAGTTATTTTTATTTTTATTGGTGTACTTTTAAATTTCTAAAGGATGACATATGAGTTTTGTTTTGATGACGTTGATATCTTTGAGATTACGCATAGAATAATTTACAATGATTAACATACTATGGCATAATCATAAACGAACCAGTTAGTTATACCAATCTTTGATATATGATATCCCAACGTTGATATAACTAATCGGCAACCACATTCAATGATTTAAAAATGGTTTAAATATTTATATATCTAATATTATCGACAATATTTTCAAAATATGTAAATGCGTACTATGTTTGTGCAATCGTGTTATAAATGGATATACTTCATTAAATATTATGGAAACATTTCAACAAAATATTTACCATTCGTTTGATTATGTTCAAGCAATTATGATTATGTAACAAGCAAATAATCACAAAAACAAAGAACTTATACATAATAAAAGATCAGATAAATAAAACCAGTATAGTGCAGCACAGCATGGTAAGAAAACATTGAGCGGTTATTAAAAACGTAGACAATAGTCTACTTCAGATAGTATCTTGGACAATTTGAATGCTCTTTACTCATTGTAGTATCGCTTCTTGCTGCTGATATAAGCAGTATACATATATATATATTAAATTGGTTACGTGGGCATCTAGAGAGAATATGAAGCTAGATCTTCCGGAGTTCAATCAGCGAAATTGTCACTCTTCATTAATTTGTAATTCGGGCACGTATAGATTTTAAGCTATTAGTGTCAATAATTATTAAGGAGTTAAGATGTGACATATCACAAGTTGCTTAATTATTTATTAAAGTTCTTAAATGATTTTACATTTTTTAAAATTATTGCTCTAGTGAAAATGTTTACAAATTCTCAGTTAACTTTTAGAAAATTTGACAATTAAAAATACAATTAAATTGCATCTAAGAACTTGAAATTTTATTGCTGTTTTATTCTTTCACCCAACGATCTTTGTTGTGTTTTGCATATTATTAGTATATCTCGAGAAACCTTAAACTGAAAACTGCCTTGACCCGACTTGACATATGTACATTTGATACCACTAAACCGCAACTTAAACTCCCTTCTATGCACAATTCGAACCAGAACCAGTAAAACACACAAAAATAATCTCAATCTCGATTCCAATTTCCTTTGGGCATGCACGACGGCTTTGCTGGTTTTTAGCAAAGATTTATTGTTTGCTAAGCACACAAAATGTCACAAAATACAATGTAGCAAACTTGATGCTATCGAGCCAGCAGCTCCTTGGCAATTTCACTTGTTGGAACTGAAACGCATTATCAATAAGGAAGCAATTCAGCCGCTCCATAACTCAACTTCATGGATTCCTAAATGCAACAAATTAATTTTGTTATTTATGCTAATTTAGTGCTTCCAAACAACAGGCTGGTCAAGCAAAAATACTAAAAATAATTTATGGACTACCACTTGGGGGTTATTGGATTGTGGAACGGTTACGTGAGATGTGACATATGCGCGATTTTGTTATATGTGTTCCTTTTTCCTTTGAGTGTGTAATAACTTGAAAGCCTATACAAGTGAAAACTGTATAAGTACGTTCTTCTTACCATGATTGATGATTTCAATAGGTAACTTGTTAATTTGAACCACGAAAAGGTTCAAAGTAGCTTCAAAACAACATAAACAATGTTCCTCAACCTCATTATTTATAGGATTAGAACTAAGGTCAGAAGCATTTCAATTAATTTTTAATTTTATAAGACACATTTTGCACGTTTGCCAGGACTGACGCCTGATGCTAATCAATCATTCAATTGAGTATTCACGTTTCAGAATCTGAGCACTTTTTTTAACCGCAATACTTATCAATCACTTACTTGATCTTTAGTTTCGAAGAAAAAATTTAACATAGCTAATTTTGTTTGCTTTGTAATAATCATAGAAAAAAAATATTACATTATGATACAGTAAAATGAAAGAAGGAACCAATTACAGACAACTTAAATTAAAATGATTTCTAAACGGTTTTTTTTAATATTTTAATATTTGCTTTCAGTAAAACTATTATTTGATGTATAAAGTACTTCGCAGACTTAAACTCCCAGTGGAGCAAAGCAGTACGAATTTTTTAGATCTTTTGTACTACATCATTTCATGCAAGCTAATAAATAAAACCTAACTAACTCATAAAAATTTTTATATGGACATAACGTTATTAAATAAAGTGACAGTATAACTAGTAAACACATCTATCGAGGCACGCTTCTCCAGCCTCGCACATCGAGTACAGTACGTGTTGCCTGAACTTAATCTCTACATCTAAGATACGATCCATCCTCCATCCTTCCATACCATTAATGTCAGTGTCGTGGTAAAGTTCATACAGCTCGTGGTTTATATAGATGCGGTAGTCACTGCCAACTTGTACAGCACCAAAAATTTTTCGAAAATCTTTATCTCGAATACTTCCAGCGCTTCTTCATTATTCTGTAATACTCCATGCTTCTAATCTTCTAAGCTCTACAGAAACATAGGTTGGATGGACAACCTAGAATGTTTTAAGTCTTATAAGTGGGGAAAAACTTCAGTCTCTATTAGAATTATATAAATATACTATATTCTTGAGAAATAAAAGATTGGTTTGTGCATTAAGCACATGACCATATTTCAATAGTTTTTAGTTCAAGATATAGATATAGAAGTTTCCACTCTTATAATATTTTAAAACACCTTACACCTCAAACTTTCGTAGCTAAATAAAATTCCCCGCTCATTGGATTTCCATTTTTTTCAAATTTCCACAATAAAAATTCTTTTGTCTAAACTTTTTAACCTGCGTACGAATTTTGGCCTGTCAGAACAATATTTTAGCACAAAATTATTAGGCACATTATCATAATTTTTTGTTACAAACACTCTTCGAAATTCTTTTATAAGTAGAATTTGTGTCAAAAGTTTTTCATTTACATTGCGTTCAAATTCACTCGAAGATTACCAAGTAACTTTTTTAACTTTTCCTTTTTCTCTGCCATGCAAATAATTAAACTAAAAAGAAGCATTTAACAAAAAAACAGAATGAAATGTGCGAATTTTTGCAGTTCACCAAATCCGTAATTCCTCCATAATAACTCTAGTATTATTTTATCATTACAGATAACATCATATTACAATGAAACATCATGGATCAATCCATCGGAGGCGGATACGATAGTGGGTGAGGATCCCGATGCGGTGGCACTTGTGTTAATTTTAGTTGTTGGTAAAGTAAATGTCGTTGAATGTCTATAGAAGATGAAGCTAACACCAAAACAAGAACCGAAGCAGAAGCGAAAATGCTATAATTCATCTCAACAAACTGCACAGAACTTCCCCCATGCATGCATGCATGTAAATGTTAAAAGCACTCAAACCAACACACACGCAGACTCACCCCCACACATATACTCGCTTCCAATTTCCGTTCGAAAACATTTCATCATTGTACATTCCACATTCGCAAGTTAATAACTTTTCGTAGTCCTCGTACTGAAAAATTATTCCCATTTATGTTTTATGGCTTTGAATTTTGTATTTATATTTTTTTTTATTTGCTGATATTTCATGCTTAATTTACAATTCGGAATCGCATAAATTAATACATTTTTTTGCGTTCTATGGTGCCAACCTCACGTTTATCTTGCAGGTATCTTCCTGTCGGTGTTAATATTTCTATCAGTCGCCGGAAACATACTCGTCTGCCTTGCTATTTACACGGAACGAAGTCTGCGACGCATTGGGAATTTATTCCTTGCCTCATTAGCGATAGCGGATTTATTTGTGGCGTCTCTGGTTATGACATTTGCTGGAGTTAATGATTTACTAGGTGAGTGTTTCTATAAGGGTAAAAATGGAATAATATTTAAATAGTTAATCAGTAGTATATTGCTCTATTAAATATTTTGTATAAATAACTATAGTAACTGTTAGTTACTACGATTGAATATCCTTGTAAAGAATTTTATTTTTTTTAATATGAACTGGTATCTCAAAGATTTATATTGTCTTTATAAAAAAATAAATCATGCATAAGTTATATTAAAGTGTCATGAATACAAAAGCATTTGGTTTACTTATGATATATTCATACATATAGCCCATTCTATTAGTTTATACTCTTTGTAGTTAGTTTTCACTTAAAATAGTATTCAAACACCGGATGAATTTAAAATACTTGCTGAATTCCAGAAATTTTCACATTAGACATTGAAGTAAGACGAAGTGGCAACTTCTGAACACTGACAGGCAATAAAATAATAAAGACAAATGTGTAGGATTTTGGGCACATAAATACCTCTTGCTGAAATCACTCTCACACATACACACCATTTAGCACAATTTAGTGGTTTTGTTTCCTAAATCCGTCAAATCAGTCATTCTGACGCTCAAACGCCACAAGAGCAGTGCCACAAAGCTTCTTTCATGAGTGAGACAATTGCAAGAAAGTAGCAAATTCTTTCATTCGGGATATTTTCTTAATCTGACAAGGAATTTATTACAGCATTTATGTCATTTGTGTATTATATAATTCATCAAAATATGTTTCTTAAGGGCATGAAAATGGCGGATTAAACAAGCAACTGATTTCATAAATGAATTGCTGTGAAATTAGCTTCAAAGTTATGATATATAAATCAATTATAAAAAATTGAATTTATGACGTCATGAAGTCGCTAAATATTAATATATACATATATGATTAGAACAGATCTTTTTGTACATACTAAATAATAACAATAATAATGGGAACATTAGAACAACTTAACAAGATGTTTATAAAAACTGATGACTAAAATTTGAGTTGTATTGAAATCTCTTACAATATATTACATATGATAATAACTTTTCTTTTTAAATGTGCCAAATTGGACTCACTTTTATTTTACAAAGGTGCGATCCTTAACACTGAGGCTAACAATCCCTTCTGTTAATGAAGATTAAGGCTCAAGCATTAAGACTATGTTACTTTCTTTTAATACATTATGCTCTCTAATTGAAGGTAATTTGACAGAAGTTATAAAGGTTGCCATCATCATAAAGGAAATTACCTTCATAATTGAAATTACCAATCTTTTTTTTAACAGTTTAAAGTTGTATACAGTAAGTTTATAGTTTCCGTTCTAAAAGAGTTAGTTTTAGAATTTATCTTATATGAGTAATTTTATTCTTGTCGTTTTGTAGTTTGGTAATGTCAAAGCCAACAAATAACAATTACATATGGGATTAACTTGATTAATTGGTGACAAAACATTTCAAGTGACATCAAACAATAAACTTTGTATCGGGTTTCAGTAAAATCCTCTGTGACGTATTATTCACAAAACTCTTCTCAGCGACAGCCTCTACGCTGTACTTTATAGATGTGTTGTATCAGCTCTTTGATTCATTGTTTTATCTATAAAGGACAATAAGTTGGTTAAAGTTTTCGTAACCAAATTAAATTCCAATCTCTTCTAAAATTGAAGAAGGAAGTAATAACAGAAGTTGGTTTGACACACTTTAAGAAACCAGTTGACATCATATTAAACAATGTAATGGACTATTCAAGTATGCATTATAAATCACGACCCTGTGCTACTGATTAGGATCACACTAATATTTTTTCTTACAAATTCTAATATTTTATCACAAGAAAGTTTGTTGAAACTAAGAAACTAATTCCTATATTTTTGTTGCTATTGTGATCATCGAAACCAACATAAAATCAATAAAGTTCTTTAAAACAAATTCGATTTTTTCTCAATCTAAACATTAAAAGCTGAAAAACTTTGATTTTTTCCATAAACAAATATGTTTAGAAAACCTTTATTGAGTTTGTGTGGCATTTGTTTTCACAGTGAAAACAAAAAGTGAAGGAATAGAAAGCGAAACTAAACTAACATTTTGTTAAAAACCATTTTCAGTAAAACCGAATGAACTAGAAATGAAATAAAGTTGTGATATCCGAGCTCCAAAAAGCATCCACCATCGCACTAAATAAAATACAAAAAATACTTATAATCCTTTCAGAGCGAAACAGGATTTGTTGCAGTTGTTGCCGAATTTTTAGTTTATTTTCTCTAACCAAGCAATGAAGGACTTCGCAAAAGTAAAAATTCGCTGAATAAAATAAATGCATTTTACATGGTGTGTAAATATGTATCTTTCATATGTTCTGGGTGGTCTATCTATTTGGTGATTTTCAATTATGCACTGTGTTGGAGTAAATATTTTGTACATAGTGAGGATAAATAGCTTAAGAGCTCAATCGAAACTATATTTGTTAGTAACAATTTTATTTTAAGTTGATTTTGATGTTCGTTTTCGTTGATGATGGTGTACTCTTTTATAATAATCCACACTTACGAATTAATGTGCAATTTTAAAAGGTCTTGAAATACATATACCAATAAGTATAGCGCAAACGTTTAATTGCAAATAGTTGTAAAAAGGACTTTACATAATATCCATAAAATTTAATTTGTTGCTGCTTGTTGTTGGGGTTAATTTGTGCAATCATTCTTAATTTATTGGATTGAATTGCATTTAAGTGCTCCTGTCGGTGCTGTGCTGTGTGTTACTGGGTTGACGTATAATTAATCTTGAAATTGGCAAAGCGCTTTATTCAAAAGAGAAAATCACTCAAGCAAGAATTTATGCATTTATGCATAAATCAAGCAGTTTATTCAATCATACAAAATATCCTTCCCTGCTCAGTTCATTGTATTCACAATATATACAAAAATCTCGAAAAACGACTTACAGCGATGCTCCGACATACATACATCTCAAGTATATTTTGCATCATCGACAAGTTCAGGTTCAGTAGTCACCTGCTTGGCATAATAGAATTTTGATCCTTAAATACAACACAGTAGCAGCATGTTAAAGATATCCGGGCAAAGTAATGGTAGTAAACGACTTCCTTACATGACGATGGCTCAATAAGCCATCTTAACCTCGAAGCACAGGATTTCGTAAAAAAACAGAGAAAATAATTTACTTTCCAGAAGCTAAACTTAAAGCACATAGATATACACATTCGCATCCGCTTCCACGCTGTAGGAGTGTCATAACAGTTTTCGTATATGTGAGACACAAAAATCCACATAAACGCAGGTAAATCTTCTAGAAGAGCAACACACTCCCACAGAAGCTGATATTGGAATAATTTACAAAGCAGCAGGTGTAAAATGTTTAAATTTTTACTGAAAAAAGCTGAAATCATAAAAAACGAAAAGATTTATAGACGATGTCCTTTTCATACTTAAAATTACAAAATATTGGCATGTAAAAGCTTACATTAGCAGATGACTGCATGTACTCGTATACACTTATATCCTGGTTAGTGTATTAGTAGGTTGGTGTGATAGTGAATGTCCTTTGAGCTTTTTCACATAAAAACCACGAATGCCAGTTTATATAAGTTTAAAACAACATTTTATATACTTTGAGTAAATGTTTTTTATACAAGACTGTATTGCCGTAGTTTTTGTTGGCAGCAGGAGTACATACATTACACAATGATCAAGCAAACAATGTCCTTTGTATATATATTTGACCAAAATGAAAATAAAATGAAACTGCTTACAATAAAAGTAAAACTAAAGGAACACTTCCCGTGAAGTAGGTGTGTTGTGTCCTGCAAAGTCTTGTCCATTTCGGGCAACAACCAAATTGCTTAAATTATTGAATTACTTTTATGGCTATTTATATTTACGATAAGGTAGTTCCAATTTTAAATTTAATTGCTTATAAAAATAAGAAACAGTTAGTTTAAATTTATTGTAAATATTTCATAAAATTTGACAAATTTCTAATATTCTTTGTGCATAAAGCTGTGCAAAAAATTTTGGTGCTTGATAAGCATAAGTTTAATATCGTTCGACTACATTTTTGCTTTAGATCTTAAGATTATTTTGTGAGGGAGATTAGTTAGTTAATGTTCAGAAGACTATCATGACTTTCCATTATTAGGAATGTAATTATTATATGATTTAAGTTATTAGTTTGATAAGTACAATATGTAGTTTTAACAAATTCATTATGCAATACAAATGATATTTTTAAAAAGATATTCACTTGATATAATCGATTGTTATTTTAGATATATTTCCATATAGTAAACATTGTTATTCATGCTTAAAAATTGAATGTTTCCTTCAGTAACTCTTAACGTCACAGTGAGGAGGCTGAATAAAATACTTTACAACTATTCTTTTACAGTTCACATCATATGTACTCATTGTGGGTTAAACATAAACTGCAGAACCTCCCTTCGAAAAGATTTTTATTCAAGGTTTTCTGGGTTATGAAAATGTCTCAGTTCTCTGTGCCTCGTTGAAAAACTGACGAGAAAATGAACCATTTTAAATTATACAGTTAACTAAAGGAAATTAAAGTACTCGTAGCCCCTATCATAAGTAAAAATAGACCTCATTGCCAACGTCTTATGTTGTTAATAATCGAATGCAAAAGGCACATTTTGATGCGAAACGACACCAGTGCAAATAAATGGATATTGAAATTGAATTTTTAAACGAAAAGGAAATTCGAAATATCTACTGCAATTGAAGCTGCTTTCAGATACATCCACTTGCTTGTGAGATCTGCAAAATAACAGGTGTAATTTCAATCAGAAAAGCAAAGATTAAAATTCCTTTAGTATTCCATCGTTACATTCAAGATAGAAATTTTTTACCTGAATACGTTTGTGAGCAATGTCGAAAGGATGATTGCTTTTAGAGGGTCAATATTCCTCTATTGTCACTTAAGCAGAAGCAATTTCACATTCTTAATAATGTTATTTTGTGTTAGATGAAATAATTAAAAAATCATTGTCTTAATAAAAACAAAATAAGGTAAAACCGATTTAAAATTTTTATCACTCCTTTATATTAAATACAATTCTTCTTAGCCATCTCGTCCTACGTAAAGCCAAATAAAAGCACTTCGATCTTTCATGGATATTATGTTTTTTTTTTAAATATTTACCGCTTGCATCAATGATATCGAGATCACATTTAAGTTCATCTTAACCGTATTACGCAAGAGTGTATTGAGTGCAGTTATAAGAAGAAATAAGTTATTTCTTCAAAATGTCGAGATGAGGCAATATGGTAAAATATTAATCAATTTAATCATATCAACTATCATCAATTAATTAATTTTGATCAATTATGATCAAAAAATATCAATTAAATTAAATCAAACATATCCAAAGTATATTTAACGCTACAATCGAAAGAAAACACCTAGTTTGATAGTACTACCGGCCAAATTAAGGATCAAAAATGTTTTAAATGTCCAATTATAAGAAATAAAAAAATACTTTCATATGAAAATAATACATTTAATATTTCATTATCACCTTTCACCAATGGATCAAACTTTGAAAACTAGCACAACGGTGCTGATACGTAAGAACTATCGTTCTACTCAATATAACGGGAAGCTTTCTATTGAAAATCCCCAATTTTACCAATATTCATATAATCAAGATCCTAACCTTTTTGCTGATATCTGCTTATCAGGCTGCGTCAGTAATAAGAAACACCAAATACAAAATCTTCTTGCAAACTCATTTATGAATACTATGTCCCAGTTTTAATAGAGCTAATCTCATTAATCACTGGCTTAACTGAAGACCATATTTTAAGGATGAGATTAAATAGCACTGGTATCTGCAGATTTCTCAAAATTCGTCCATTTAGTATGATTGAACTAAATGAGGTCTAGATTATTCACAGTTTCATCATTAACTTTGTTTTGAGAAAGTAATCTTAAAAGACTAAATCGAGAGGTTCGCAAATATATTTAACATGACGCGGTGTAGTTTGTTCTAATTAAATTAAAGTTCTAATTTGTCATATTTCGAAACCAGTGTGATACAAAACAAAATTTTGCTATCTTGTTCTTGTTTTTAATTTTCATTTTGTTCTTCTTCCTGTTTTTCTTCTGATAGCTTAACTTATTATATGGTATTATCTGATATTATTGCTGTAATTATTATTGTACTTACCATTGTTATTTTTTAATTCTTTTGCTTTATGTTGAAGCTATTTAAACCAGTGCACTTAAGTACTTTCACTCTTTATTAAGTCGAGGTATCTTCAAAACCCCGTCTTTACGCCTTGACTGGGTTATTGTTTATCACTTCATCAGACTAAGCAATAATTGACCTCAGATCTGCATACCTCTCCGAAAAGCCTGTAACCATTCCAAGATTCGATAACACGGTGTTGGTAAGTCTGTCAGTTTTCGCAAATAATTTCATGGCTCTATCCTTTATGTATTTTTTGATCGGATCAATCTTGAGGTCCCTGAGGATGTCATTCGTCCTAATGTACCATGATACCTTGAAAATTTTCTGAGAACCACATACTTGTTTCACTTTTACTTTTTTAAATGTTATAGATTTACTTCGTGAATTTTTACGTATATATTTTAATTTATTTATCAATCGATAATAATACTAAAAAGATCTTATATGGATGTTATATCCGTAGTTTGATCAGTTATTATTGTTAACTAATGCCTTATATGAAAAATGTTCGGTACGAATGAATTTTCCCTGTGTCCTATTGATGAAACTTTCATGTTAATGTATTCATATCTTCAGAATTTCAGTTTATAGCTATAGTTTCATGTGTATTTTAACAAATTGTATTAAAATGTATGTGGCATTTGGATTCAATAAATGCATATAATTTATATTTAACTTCAGTTTTTGCACAAATTTAGGCACTCACACACAGTGAAGGGCGCTATTAATAACTAAGTTTATTGATTCAAAAATTTAATTTAACTATGTTGGTACAAATATATGTCACTCTACCTCAATAAACTTTTGGTCAAAATTTTTAAGCACATTTATCAAATATTTTATCTATCTAAAAACGAGCAGAGTAAATATGTGAATTTTTTATGTTTCCAGGTTATTGGATTTTCGGCGCGCAATTTTGTGATACTTGGGTTGCTTTTGATGTGATGTGCTCAACGGCATCCATTTTAAATTTATGTGCCATATCAATGGACCGTTACATACACATAAAGGATCCATTGCGGTAAGTATTTTATGTTGTAGTGCTATTATGTGATAACAGACATAAACGCTATTTCCGTCCTCACCAATACAAAGACATGGCGTTGTTATGCTGTCGTAAAAGCAAAATAAAATAAATAGAAAATAACAATTAATAAATATAAAATTAACTAACTAAAATGCTTTGCAAACTGGCTCACGGTTACAACCACTAACTCACAGCATGGAGAGTGAAGTATTTTTAAACTGCCCGGGATATTCATAGCTATTTTTATTGATTTTTTATCGATATTTTAAAAACAACCAACACAATCTTCATTCAAATACTAAACAAAAGGACACACGGAAGGAACACGGAGTAACAAACTTCATGATGAAATAATTCTAATTAAGAGCTTGCCAACAACAACAATTTTGGACTAATAATTTTCTTTATAAAGTGGGTGGATTTCTGCGAAATAAGCGCATGAAAAAGTCATTTATTTTATTGTTTTATGAAAGCAATCACTAGTAAAAGAAAAACAGAATTCATCAATCAATTGAATTGGTAGGAGCTGCAGGGCTACAGTTTATTTGGTAGACTTTTTTAAGTTCTGCAGTAGGCGTTTACACGCCCACTAACAGAGCGAAATCTTAATTTTATATGTAGATATATGTACAAAATAAGTCCATAACAGCTCCTCTAATGCAATGTTAGACAAACTGAAACGTTTTTCAATTCTTTCAGTGTAAATGTACGAATATGAGTGAGTACTGGATGTGTACATCAGCATTTCAATCAGAAGCAACAAAGTCATAAATAGAGACTTTGTAATCCATTTAAATTTCATACTAAATAAAGGTTTAAATCGTAAATGATTGCAAAATCCCTTCGGATTTGTGCCTCCTTATCGTATTTGTGCAAAACTGTTACTTTTCTGGCAGCCCACATATGCCCATTCCAATCCAAAAACAAATACGAGTACGAATACTTTTCATCATTTATCTACAAATTCTGTTCCTCTCCTAGACATTTTTTTTAATATTACCTTCGAATGTTTTGTATATCCACAATCTGTTTATTGCTTGGTCCATAAAATTTGTTGTATATGAATCTGTGCCAATATGTACGAAGTGCACATTTCCTCACCGGAGGTATTGTCTATGCCTGTCTACCTCTATGAAAGATTATTGAGCCTTTTGCATTTTCTGTATTCTCTTTTATTTTATTTGTATACTTTTTATTTCCTTCTCCGGTGTTTACGGAGAAATGGAAAAAGTTGCAAAATTGCTGATAATTTTATAAACGAGCCATATAACACGTTTGGTACTAATAGATTCTTGTTTATACGAAAGCTATTATGTACTCATCATAAATTTTTATACGAGTATATATCCTAGTCGGTAAATGAGTGTTGCGAAAGGACTTGGTACGTGGCGGTACAAATTAATTCCATACAAACACAAATAATAAATAAGTACAAATAAAAATGAACTAGGACATGTGTTCGTTAAGAGCCTACAATGTGAAGTTTTACTACAGATATTCGTTATTCTATTATAGTGAATTAATAACGTTTTGTGCACTTCAAATAGTACCGAATGTTGTACAAATCATATCAACATTATTATCTTTATTAATATAAGTAAAAATATTGCACCAAAATTTAATAGGAAGATTTATTCCTTCCGAATTAGATAAATAGTTCAAAAAAGTTCGACACCTTAAAAAAAGTTTCCTATGCAACAATACAGATAGCTTATATTTGTATATTAAATATGGGAAACAAGTTTAATACCATTTTTCAATATCTGAGAAAAAGGAATTTAATGAAATTATCCATGAACTTTTTTCATATTTGACTAAAAATACTTATTCACTACTGTAACAATTCATAAAGAACCTTCATGATCGGTTTTGTCTCTAATATTGCTCACATCTATAATATAATTATACTATACATAGATATAATACAGTAATATTATTGAAATAATATCAACTAATATAATCACAACATATAAGAAGTGGTCTTACGTGTTAGAAGAAAATTAAGTTATTTTTTAACTACATGGAAAAATGGGATAGAATAACAAATAATTGATCCTACTCTCTGAATGGAAATCTATAATGAGACTGTAGAGTGTGTGATGTTAATTACGAAATCCTAAAATATTATTTTTATATAATATAGCATTTATAATATTAGTTTGACTCTCTTCTCTAACAATCGGGATACTTTTTTATCACACAACTAACCATATCATAAATTAAATATATAATATATATTTAAAAAAAATTTTATGGCTTCGCACATGTCATACGTACCAGTCGCGTAATTTCTCTACTCTAAAGGTTAAAAACGGAAGTTTTGATGTTTTAATGCTGACTTCCGCATAACCCTAAGCACTAACAAAAAGGAAACGGCACGAAACACACAAATCGGTTATTAAAGCTCAAATACAAGCCGAGAAATACAAGGTTAAGGATAATAAGAAAAAATTCCTATCGCAAATATTTTTAAACATGACAGACGCCAATGAGAAAATTTTATTTATTTAAATAGAAAAAAGTACTTACCGATGAAAATGTGTAATGCAAGTTGAATAAACGAAAAAAAAAATTCATAAAAAATTGCATACCTGAGTGAGCAGCAAAGTAGCGCATGGAAACACACTCCACAGCAGAGATGTACCAATGTAGCAGACGTACGTGAAGCAATTGATGCAGACGAGAGGTATCACAACTTTCCCAAGTAGCTGCTTGGATTCCATAAAATCTTCAACTTGTCAAGTGCAAGCAGAATCGTTGACCATTAGTGTTGTTGATAGTTTCACTAAAGCTACTTGTGGTTTTTCTGAAAACTTTGTTTGTGTATACTTATACCGCATACAGGGTGTTACAATTGGAATTTTCATATAATTTACTTACTAATGATTCAAGTTTTTGTATTTATAACTATTATCTTGAATTTTGACTATAAAAAAGAAAATATTATTTAAAACTGCTTCAATTTTTCTATATATATTTATATAAGTATAACTTCTTACAAATAGCTGATGGTCCACGATTGAGGTCCTGAGAAACTAATGAGTAGATCTAGGTCATACACACACACACACACACACAAATCTGAAAACTCATAAGAGTTCGAACAACTTATTCGAGTCAATAAGAAATAATACTGGTTTAGTAGTCTAAATATACGTGAATTCTAAAGCAACTGTTACGGCTTGTTAGTATTAACTATCACTTTTCAAAATGAAACTAAAGGACGTTGACATATTATAATATTGACAACGCTTTTAATTAGTTTTTTCATAATAAAAATATTTTTTTTAATTTTCTTATGAATTTGGTATAAACAATGTTTGATGTTAAAGGTTGGTAATTTTGTTATTGCTTTATAACTCATTTCATTTTGCACCCTGTATTCTTATGGTATTTTAATAGTATTTTCTTTTCATTGTTGGTCCGTGCTTAAAATAACAAATATTCTAAAAATTCTATTTAGTGTTCTGGAAATAGGATAACAAATGCCCAAGAACTACAACTTCGCCCTTATAAGTTCCCAGCTTTTCATGTTATTCCGCAATTTCACTCCGAAAATTTGACTTAAGAGGCAATAAAAAAGCTGTTTCAAATTGTCTTCTGCTATTTCTTTCGGGAAGCCGGAGTGAAAATTCTACTAATATTTACCTTTGCAAAGCAAATAAACAAAATTTTTAGTGGCAATAACAAGCACGAATGCTACAGTAAGTCACGTTATCTACCAAACATTTAAGTATTAAACAACAATATTTGAACAAAATCATACAACAACAAAACAATAACAAAACTTAAGTAAATTTAAAAAAACTGTGAACAAAAATCGTGTCAAAGTTAAAAATTTTGATTGAATGTCAAATGTTTGGGCTTTTAGGACAAATGTCAAGATTTGTCCTAAAAGCTGAGTGCAAGGAGTAAATTCTTTTTGTCCTTTCTCGTTATTGCTTTTTTTTTTTGATAAAAACGTATAAAAATAAATAAAAACGTGCTGAAATTAAATTTTTTAATTTCGTCTGCAATTTCCATTTTCATTTCCTTCTTTTCTCAAATTTAGTCCATTTCATTTTGGATTTATGGTGGTCTTAGAAAGAAAAGTTGACTAAAGCGAATGAAAGAATACTGAGTCAGTATCCCTTTTGTTCATGTCGTAGGATTAAAATTCTCTCCCGAATTTGTACTTTTCAAGTCGCTTTTCACTTTATTAGGGTTTTTATATTTTCCTTACTGTTTACGCCTTTCATTTATGCTTTGACACGACGAAATTTGATTTATTTGCGTGTCAAAGTGATTTAACCTTTGCAGCTCACACGAAATGAACCTAGCCAGAAAAAAGTGAAAATTCTATTTCATGAAGAGCAAGGTAGAGTAGGAGTGTCCATTAAGTCTTCTTCATTTTTCCTCGCCTCACTGCTTCCACTATTTTCCTCCTTGCTCACTGTAAGCAACTGCTTTGTAAATAATTGCGAGTAATTAATTTTAACGCTTCAGCAAGAAGTCCGTAAAAAATAATCAGTTTCAACGAATTACAACAATTTGTTAAAACAATTTATTTAATATGCTTTATACAAAAAGTGAATTAATTCAAACAACAGAAGGAAAAGGAACTGTCGGAACAAAATCTACCCAAATTAAGATATAAAATCGGAATAAAAAGAAATAGAGGAAATTATAATAACAATAATAATAATAACGAAATAAAATTATTTAAATTTCCTTGATCTGATAAAGCTTAAATATGTATTTACACAGTATCAGTGCTCTTCGTATTCGAATAGTTCCAATATCCGAAAATCCGAAGGTGACCAAATCATTCGAATACTTTAAACTTCGAGTTTGATTTGCTGAATTGTTTTAAATGTCAATTGGTTTTAATCTCTTGTATCTTTTATCCAACCAATTTAATTATTTTGTCATAATATATGATATTATAATATCATATATGAAGTAAATTTTTCACATGTACCATATATTAGGAAGAAACTGAGCTGTAACTTTTT